CCCCCCCCCCCCCCCCCCCCCCCCCCCCCCCAAAAAAAATTGTCATCATTAAAAAATACCAATCAAATCTGAAAATTTTTTTTCTCCCTTTAATTCTTTTTTTCTTCTCTTTTTTTATCTTTTTTTTTTTTCTTTCAATTTTATACTCTCAAATTATACTTTCAGTTAATACTAGACTAGTTTTTTTTTTTTTTTTTTTTTTCTGCTCCTATAAATTTTCTTTCAACTGCAGCAGTACGCATACAGAAAGTAAAGCAAAAAAGCAGAGGCCAAAAAAAAAGAAAGACTAAAAGAAAAAAGAGCAAAATTTGCTAAAAATCAACTCTGTTCTTATTTTTATCAGATGGCTATACAACGTATTCAGTTGAAAAACAAAAAAAAAGAAGCTTTTTTCTTCTGTACTTTTTTTTTTTTTTTTTCAACTTTAAAAGGTTGCATAAACATAGAAGAAAAAAAAAATGCAAACCAAACACCAAAAAACTAATTAACCATCAAACAACACAGTGACATTTTATGTAAGGCAAAGTAAAGCAAAAAAAAAAAAAAAATTTTTGAATTATAAAAATTGTAAAATTAACAACATCGAACAGTCTAAAATTAGGTGCTTCAAAAAAATGAACAACCAAATAGAGACAGTGTAAAAAAATCAGGTTAAAACTTATAAAAGTGTCTTTAGCATCAGCTGTATCAACAGCAGCATCAGCGTCAGCATCAGCATCAACATCAACATCAACATCAACATCAGCATCAACATCAGCATCAGCGTCAGCATCATCATCAACATCAACATCAGCATCAGCATCAGCATCAGCAACAGCAACAGCAACAGCAACAGCAACAGCAGCTAATCGATATGCTTTGAGAAGGCCGACTCAAACGAGAGGGGAAAAAAAGGCAATTATCAATGCTAAAGATTAAACTTGGTGGTAGGCAAACGAATGCTGTCGTTGTTGTCGTTGTTGTCGTTGTTGTTGTTTTTTTTCCATCTCTTAACATTTTTTTTTTATTTTTTTTTACCACTAAATAAATAAAAAACAACAAGAAAAAAAACCCAGGTATCTTGGATACAGAATATTAGTTTGCAAAAAAAAAAAAAATGAAACAGGAAAAAGCAAAATGTTTCTCAGACCATTGTTTGTCGAAAAACAGTTCTCAAATAAAAAAAAACCTTTGTTCTTTTTTTTTTTCTACAAACCAACAGCAACAACACAGTATACAGCAGACTTTTTTTCCAACCATTTATTAAACGTTGGTAAAAAAAAAGATTGAAATAAAAAGTTTCTTCTTTAAGAAATGTTGCAGAAAAAAATGTTGTTATTGAAGTGACAAAAAATTTTTGCTAGAAGAGATTAAAAAAAACTTAGCTTGTGTATTCTACAGTTTTTCAACTGTCTTTTTTTTTCCTTTGAAATTATTCTCTCAACAGTAGTAGGTAAAAAATAAAAAAAAAAAAGACTGAAATTCAAAGCATTGCAAAAAGAAATTCTGTAACACAATTAATCTGTTTTTTTTTTTTGGGGGGGGGTGTCCCAACTAAATGGCTGAACAATTATTACTACTTCAGATTAAAGATCAGTTAGGATTGAAGAATATAAGCTGGAGGAAGAATGAATGAAAAGAGACTTTATATATTGAGCTTATCCGTCGTACAATAAATGATAAAATTATTTTTTATCTTAGTTGAATTTATTCTTTTTCAAAAATTTCTTCTTTTTACCTCACAACAGTAACAGCGGCAGCAGCAGCAGCAGCAGAAGAAGAAGAAGAAGAAGAAGAAGAAGAAAAGAAAAAAAAAAAGTGGAAGAAGAAAAAAGAAGAAGAAAAATCGTTGTCAATAAATTGCTACCGTATACTTGTCTACAGTAACACTAAATCAGCAGCCAATAGCCATCAGATCTGTACAGTTCCATTGAACCATTTGTAAAAAAAACCCCCATCAATCAGCAAACTGTTCATAAAGAACAATGTTAAAATAGGCAAAAAAAAAAGACAAACGTTTTCTGTGCTTCTTTTTTTTTTTTTAGCAGACAATTTATTTAGCTAATAATTGCGATAGAGTACAGCAGTGAATAAGACTGAATATATTTAACCAGATTAAAGCTATCTAAATGACAAAAAAAAAAAATAATAGCAAAACAACAACAACAACAACAAAAAAGAAGGAGCAGCAGGAAGGGAAAAAAGTTATAAGAATAAAATGAACCAGAAAGTTGTATCTCTTTTACTTCTTCTTGTTTTTTTTTTTTCTTTTTATTTCTTTCTTTTTAACAAACAAAAACAGCAGAATATTTTTTCATCTTTAATCTATTGTTTATTGATCATTAAATAACTTGATTTTTTCTTCCATTTTTTCTTTGAGGGGGGAGGAAGGGGGGGGGGGGGGGGAGGTCGTTTTTGTCGTTGTTTAGAAAAGCAAAAAGAAAAGAGGAAAAAGGAAAAAAAAATTGAATCTTGAATAAGATACTTTTAGATGTGAAACATATCTGTTATGCAAAAACAACAACGAAACAAAAAATGTGGAAGATAAACCAACTATTATTTATCATTGTTCTTTTATTATGACAGCAAACTAATTAATCTTTTAAGCATTGATAATATTACTTGAAAGTTTTTCTTCTAAAGAAAGAAGAAATTCTTTTTTTTTTTTCTATTACTATTATTATTGCTTACTTCTACTTTTTTTTTTGCCGTTGTTGTTTTTGGCGTTCGTTTATCGTTTACTTTCGACCTTTTTTAAGATTTTGTTGTTTTGGGTTTTTTTTTGTGTTGCTGTTCTTTGTTATTTTTTTTTCTGTTTTTTGCTCAACTAAAAGATATAAATGAATATTGGTTATAAAGTTTTCTCTTTCTTTCTCTTTTTTTTTTCTTTTTCTTGTGACTTAAAAATATGTCTTCTGATTATGTCGCCTTCTAATAAAGCTAGTTTAGGCTTGAGCAAAAAAGTAATTGATGTGTCCAGACGAAAATGATGGTTAAAAACCAAAAAAAAAAAAAGAAATTTTTTTTAAAGAAGTTACTAAAAAATATTTTCTTGGTGAGTGTATTAAAAAAAAAAAAATTTTTTTTTTCTTTCTGTTTATTTTTTAAGCATTTTTTTTTTTCAAAAAATAATCATTATATTTTTGTGGTTGTTTATTTTTGCTTTTTTTTTTTTCGTTTTTATTTTATTATTCTTTTTCTTCACATTTTTTTTTTTTTTTTTTTTTTTATTTTTTGGGGAAAAAA